CTACATCTCTTTGTCCATCCAAGTCGTTGCCCCTTGCTAGCCAGTTATAGCTTGTGATGCTCTAAGCATTGTTTTTCTATCCCTTGACATTTGTTGGTATTCTGAACTCTAGCAGCTTTCCCCAGTGTTAACAGGCGTGAACCTCCTGAGCTTAATCGCAGATGCACAGACCATCCTTACCTGCTCAGCTTACCTTGTTAGACACTGGCTTGAGGTCTCTCACCTTGGGTCTATTTGGAGCACACACGGGTAAACTATGGACTCCATTTGCATAATGGCACAATTTTATGCAGCGTTAAGTTCCCTGTTCTACTTCCTGTTGCAGGTTTTGTGTGTGTTTGGGGTTTAAAAAGCGTTTGCTTCTTGTGGGGTGCTTAAATTCTTTTTTTCCTTTGTTCCCTAGAAGAACAAATTGTGTTTCTAAAAAAGTATTCATACAAAATGTGAGGAAACAGAGATGAGGTAAATTCCATTAAGCAGTGGTGACACATGACAAAAAACATCAGACGTGACTAGTCTCCTTATAATTTAGTTTAAATGTCATGTGTGTTTTTAGTCAGTTGTGTAATCGTCCTGTCCCTGCCAACTGCCCTTTGAGGCATGAGGGTATAGGGATGCTTGTAATGTGAACGGCAGCAATTATTATTCAATTGAGGAGGTCCGACAGGGACACACCACCCAGGATCTTGGTACCTTGTAAGGCTGCGTTGCTTTCTATATTTGTACAGGTTTCTCAATTTTGCCATAATACAATAGTCCGAAGCCCCCTTGGAGGAGGCAAATGGCACCTCCAAATTCCAGCTGCTGAACATAGCGCAATCTTGTGTGAATCTTCACAATAGAGGGCTTTCATCAGCATGTCGGCGCTGGGCTGTGTCCTAAGGGGCTTTGGTGCCACATCAGTATTCATGAGCATTGATGGAAAATGGCAGTAACCTGCCTCTTCCAGTGCTGTCTCCCTGGATCAAAGACGTGGCACTTACCGCTATTTAATCCCAGGCCCAGTGTAAGGAGGAAGTGAAGATCAGTGTCAGACTTCTCTGGTGTGTGTCTCGTTCAGGGTACTTGCCGGCTTCCATCTTGTGGTTACTCAAACACTTTTCCTGTCTCCTTCTGCGTTGTGTTCTCCTGCTGTTTAGACCCTGGGGTGTAGCCGGTGAACTCTGAGGGCAGAGGTCATAGGTGTTCTTGTGTCCCCTGCTGCCACCTGAAGCCTGGTGTGTGCTCTACACCTGGTGGCTCTGTGGGAACTCCGGGATTTCCCCAAGATCAGAACAGGCCCTGGGTCAGGCAGGGATGCTGGGCCTTGAAGAGCCCTATCAGAAAGGCCTGGGTCTCCAGGTGACCCTGTCGCTTCCCAGAGCTGTGTGGCCTTGAGCAAGGTGTGCACCCTCTCTGAGCTGCTCTCTGCTGACTTTAAAGGTGGGGTCTCTGCTTTGTGTCACATGCTGTTAAATTCAAACAAGAAAACGTGGGAAAAAAAGGAAATTTCAATAATAACCTCATTCGCCTGAGTATTGTTTAGGGCCAACATTAGCAAAATAGTCCAGTCACTGGAACTTTCATCTGTGTCATGGCAGAGGCCCCAGTAAAGATAGACCTTTGGGGACTTTTCAAATTCTTTTTAGGTGTTAGCCTATTGAATAATACAATAAGCATAACTAAATGTTGTTGGTCATTTAAAGTCTTCTCGATCTATCAACTTTTTCTTCTGTAATACAGAGTAATACCTTCAGTAATACCTTCATGCCTGGACCCTAGATGACCCTAGTTTGTTAAGTTTTGAGGTACATATGTCTTCTTTTTTTCAATAGATGATATAGATTTTTTAGAGGGGGTTTAAAATAGTTTTTCAAAGCAGAAATATATTCTACATTATTTTTAGTTGAAGAAAGAGTTCATGTCTTTCCTCAGTCCAAATCGTCAAGAGAGCCCCCGCCTCTGATCTGCAGGTGGCCTAATAAAGTTTGTAATAAGTTGGGTCAAGTAAGAATGAAGAGATTCGAGCTGGTCCTGTGGTGTTTTCTGTGGCAGTGCGTGGGCCCTGGGACACCGACCTCAACTTTACACCAGTCGTTCATTTCCTCATTGTCTGCTAGACCCAAGACTGGTGAAGCTCCGAGATACACAACCTCCCTGAACCTGAAGCTGACATCGGCTCAGGGTTTGCGTGCCTGTGGAGGAGACCTAAACCTCATACAAAGCCATAGGAGTTATTAGAAGTCATTTCAGATTCTTGGTGTCCTTGTCATTTGTGCAGGGTGGAAAGGTCATGCGACCTTCATAGCCACTACTCACTGAGTCAAACTAAGGCAGTCCCAGCTCTGGCAGGTACTTTCAGATTCCCTCTGTCAGAACGCAGGTCTATAGATTGCCCAGAAGAAATCTGCATTGTTGAGTAGAAAGGATGAGAACTTCTAGAGAGAAATGTCTCCTGTTGAAACAGGAGCTGCCCCTGTTCAGCTTGGGACCCTAGCCAGTGGAGGCCTGGGCTTCACTTCATCCGAGGCCCTCCGGGAGAATGCGCAGATGGACTTCCTGCACACAGAAGTCAGGCTGAGTCAGTGACTCTGGGCTTCTCCAAAGGCCCCTCCTGCTGCAGCTCCACCCACCTCTCGACTGTGTGAGTTGCTTCCATGGCCATTTGCTTTGCCTTTAAACATGGCCCTGTTTTGCTGTCACTGTGGTAGAACATTTCTCTAGCTGCTAGAAGTATTAACTACCGCTTGTGAGGCACCTAAGAAGTCCTGAGAGGTTCTAGGCATTTTATTATTCACCCTCCTGCCATCGGTGTGTAGGAGTCATCGAAGCCCGCAGCCCTTGCAATGCCTGGCAGTGCCCAGTCTGATGGTGCCTTGAGCTCATGTCTTTACTTATTTGTACATGTTTGTGATATGTAACAATTACATTCCTCATGAGGGGTTGTATTCTTCCCTTTCCCTCCCTTGTCCCTCTCTCTCCTTTGGTCCCATCCGCACTGTGCCTCCCTGACGCTGCTCCTGGGGAGGAGGTAGCACAGCGCACACAGAGTGTATGCAGTGCTCCTAGCATACTGCCTGCGTGACTCCCCTCCATGTTTCCGTGGCCCATGACCTCTGCAACAACCGAGAATTTCATCATTCTCATTCCCTGCTGTGTCCTGGGGACCTAGGATGGCTGCTGGCACGTAGCAGCTGCTCAGGAACTACTTGTACAATGAACCGTACCTATCACTTGCTAGACAGCAAACCAAAGCTCAGAGAGGTCTAGCAGCTCAGCTCAGTCACAGATGAAGTGAGTGGCAGAGGCGGAGCTAGGACCCGCACCCACCTGGGCCATGTGTTTATCCCCCTGGTCCCCTGAAGCCTTGTCAGAGAAGAGGAAAGATTCTGGTAGGAATTAGGAGTGCCTGGGGTGGGCCAGCTGGCGAGGAAGATGGCCTTGTGCTGTGAGCAGGAGCCGGGGTGCACCACGCCTGAAGCCTGTCTCAGCACGGGGACCACACGCTCCTCCTGCTGCAGGCTCCGGGTTATCACGCAGATACCTAATTAGCGCGGTTGCATCTCCGCAGTTGTTTCACCGTCCATAGATTATACTGCCTCGCCTCTTTAGCGCGTGCTCTGCCTGCCTTGATAGCCCCTGCTCTGGCTTCTTCAATTATGTTGATAATTAAAATCCATGCAATTTAATCTGAAATCTACTAAAAGGGTAAATCCTGAGTGGCCTTAACACACCTGTAGTTTAAAAAGGAAAAGTAACCATGTAAAGTGTTGGAAATGCCGACTAGCTCATTGTGGCGATGGTTTCACAGTGCCTATATAAATCACCTTAAATTTAAAAAAATAAATAAATAAACTGCATAGAGTCTTAAAGAATTATGATTTAGGGAAGTAATCTCAATTAACAAAAATAACATGGTAGGGAAGGCATGTGTTATTTGGGAGAGTGTTATAAATTGTAAGCAAATGCAGTTTTATGGCCTGTCGGTCAAGGTGGATTGCTCTGCTCTGCTCTGCCTAAGGTGTTAGCTGGTTTTTGTCTCCGTTGATTGGATGGCGCAGACTAACAAGGTGTCACTTTCCCAAATTTAATTTAGAAGTGTTTTTAAATCTGTCGCTGGTATGTGAAGCTTGGCAGTGTTTCGTGATGACATCCAGAGAGACTTCCCAGCAGCGCACGTTACACCTGTCCCCACTTTGATTTTATATTTACAGTAGGGTTCTATAGAAATGGGAGCCACATTGTCAAACTAGCACAACCGTAAGAAGAAATACTATCTCTCCCTTCCTGGGATAAGATCACATAAATTGCATTTACAGAGGAATATACTTGGGCCTAAAGAAAAGAGTTTTGCCTTTTTTTAAGCATAGTAATTTCCCAATTTCTGTTATTTCCTTAAGTAAACCTAGGGCTCTTTCCCACTTCAGTCAAGGCAGTTACATTTTTATGAATGCAGGGAAGCACTTTGCAAGATTCTTTTTATCTCTTGTGATCGCTATTGATTTCTGCTGGTTTACGGACTCACGGGCCTTGGGAGATAAATATTATATGGCCGCCCCCAGGCAAGACCAGATTGGAGCCATCCTCAGAGCAGTTAGCCCTTGAGCATCCTAAGACTGTAAAAGCCTGTGACCGTGGGTCACATTAGTTGGGAAGTTTCTCCTAATAGCTAACCTAACATCTTTGTCTTCTGATCTTCTTCAGAAAAGTAAAAGGAGCTGAGCATTCAAACCATATCTTTTCCTGTGTTTATAAAGAGGGTTTTGTCAAATAGCTTTCTCCTGGAGTGTCCCGTGAACATTGATGTTAAGATAAACAGCACTGTGTTTATGGCACAAGGTGCAAAAATTAACGGCCCACCATCCCTGCTGTGCTTTAGATAAATGAAAGAAGGGAACACAACAAAATGTGAAGGGATTCACTTTAGGGGTGAGGGAGGGATTGGGTGGTTCTAGGACCTTATGGGTGGTTTCTGTGTTCTTTGGGCTGTGGAATTGACTTGAAATTTATTTTTTTTTAAGGTACATTTTGATCAATTTAAAGAAGCATTAATACTTATACTATCTAGAACCCTGTCCAATGAAGAGCACTTTCAAGAACCAGGTAAGAGCCCTGAGTCTTCTCTTCATTCCCCTTTAAAAGTTGTCCAGGGAAAAGTGTGGGACTTCGAGGCATGGCTGGGAACGATTTGGGACATCTGCCTTTTGCAGATTGAGCAGTTATTTCCAGTGACTTCTCTTTCGATAGGATCATAAAAGCCTTGCAGCTGTTCAACACTAAAATGAGACTTCTGTACTAAACCAGCATAGTGTGGAAAAAATAATTGGATTGTTCCGAGGCAGCGTGTCAGGTGGCGTGGCAATAACTCACTCTTGGGATGAGCAGAGTGAAACTCGTCCTTATTCCCTGTGTACGTGGAAGCCTCTGATTTGGGGGCCATTTTTCCTGGAAGACAAATTGTGGCTGATGTAGAGATAATTTTGTTTAGTCCAGTTTAGTGGATGACCCTCTGCTCGGGACACGATCGTGTGACATTATGATTATTTATCTACCTTCCCCTATGAAAATTCTCGGAAATCATGTAGTCTGGTATTGCATTGCTAGTGCCTAGCACATGGTTAGCATCCAATGAATGTTATAAAATAGGAAATTTAATATTATACTTCATTGACTTTTTTTAGAAGTACCATACTTTTTTTTTTAAGTATGTATTTATTTTTTTTATTTATTTGTGTGTGTGTGTGTGTGTGTGTGTGTGTGTGTCCAGCTCAGCCCACCAGGGGGCAGGGCTGGCTGGCATGTGGTGCTGGGGGATCGAACCGTGGTCCCTGTGCTTTGCTAAGCGTGCTCTAAGTAGGTGCTTTAGACCACTGAGCCATCTCACCAGCCCAAAGTACCATACTTTTTAAGGCACATAATTTCATGTATAGCTAAGAAGAAAAAATTTTGCCAAATATAGCGTAAAAGGCCATTGGCTATAAAATATATCCTAGTTTCAGTGTATTCCAACCTGGTGTTGTTGTATGTGAGAATCAATAAAAAATACGGTACATACTTAAGAGGAAGACTATACAATGTAGAAATTTGTATTAAATTACAGTCTAGTTTATCAAATCAGTGGTTTTTAGCGCCAGGAATTGAAGTTGACTATACAGGACACTAGGAAATTTGAGGGTTGGTGTAACTTTTATAGTCATTTTGACAGTAGTTGTATGTATGATTACCTGAGTTTTTTCCCCTGTAGCTTGTGCGCTAAAGGGTAAAATTTACTCAGAGTAAATTAACCCTTGGTAAACCTGACTTTAGAAAAGACAGCATCAAAAAATATAGTCCAGGGCTGGAGAGATAGCTTGGTGGTTTAAGTGCCCTCCCTGGCAAGCGCAAGGACCAGGGTTTAATCCCTGGTACCACATGCTGTGCCAGCCCCACAACCTGGGCATACTGTGCTGGCCACTGAGCCTGGACATGGTGGTACACGGCTGTAATCCCAGCGCTGGGGAGGCTGAGACAAGAGTATCAGTACGAGTCTGAGCTGGGTAGTAAGACCCTGTACCAAATAAATAAATAAGTATTTTTTAAAAATATAGTCCAGGGGGCTTGCCCCTTAGCTCAGTTCTTTAAGTGGCTGCTTCAACAAAGCAGTCAGGCTCAGGTTGCTGTGGTTCAATCCCCACAACGAAGCCAGCCAAACCTGCCCTGAAGGCATTCGGAGCAAATAAATAAATAAATAAATAAATAAATTAGTCCATTCACTCGTTAAAATAAAATACAGTCCAGTTTGAGACTGAAGAGAAATCATGAATGTTTTGTGACTACCTCGACTGACTCAGTCTGACCCATTTAAAGAACACAGATGGGAGCGCATCTTCGAGGCGGTCTCGCTCTTCACCGTCCGTACCTTCTGAAACGGTCCAGATTTTTGTTATGGTTCCGAACTCTGCCTTCAGCAGCGTTTGGGATTTTGGAGTGAGTCTGCCCTTCTTGCTGATGGTGACCACCTTTAGAAGGCTTTTCTCAACTCGGAAGCTCTCCAGAGCCCTTTGGGTGCCCCCAGGGAGCCTGCAGTTTTGCGATTTTTCCAGATTAAAAGTGGGGCCTCTGCCAGTGACCCATGGTGGCTCACAGACCTTTGCTACTCATGTGATCTCATATTTTGTTGGTATTTTTACTTTTTTAAGATGATAACAATTATGCAGTATCTGGAGATTCGGATTAGGCAGTGTTGGCGTCTCTACTGGGGATACCTTTTGGTTACTATGAGCAGAGGTAATAAAAACATGAATTCAGTATTTTTCTGTGTGCTCCTCATGTGTTTATGTGGATTTATTTGGAAGGGGCAGCCCTACCACTAGTTCACATGATCCTTTCGCTCCTCTTTCTTCAAAGCCTGTTGTAAAGTTGTATAAAGATGAAAACTGAGGATGACCACCGATGTGGGGTTTTCCCCTTGGAGGGGTGCAGGGCTGGAACGTGAGCAGCTGCATGAGCTGGACACAAGCTACTCAGGCTTGGGGACAGCCCGGAAGTAGAGCTGGGCCGTCCAGCTCCAGATGGTGGCTTCATGGTTAGGCGTGGGCCTCACCGCTGGGCAGTGATTGTAATTTGGATCCGTCTTCCCCGAAGGCACACAGAAGGGATTTTTATGGTTTTGCCGTGTGCCGGGTCCTAGGGTGGGCTGCAGCAAATCTTTGTGACAGAACAGTCCCAGAGCAGTATAATGCAGTAGCGATGTAGCATTTCAGCCAGCATTTAAATGACTTCGCCTAACATTAGTCCTGGCAGGATAAAATCTAGAACAGAGCCTGTGCCTTAGGGGTGTCCCATCTAACGTGAGGCACGCGCCTCCCACGTTGCCTGCTTTGTCCTGACCACCCTGGGCCGCCTGTCTCTTGCCCCTCTCTCGCCAGCCCCTCCAGTTGTTCGTGGGGATTAAGCAGTTCTTTCCACTCAGACATTCTCTGCCCACTCTGTGACCCGCTCCTCAGGCTGGCTGGCTTGGGAGGGCAGGGACACAGCGAAGTGGGTCAGGGCTCCAGCAGGGCGCAGCAGGAGGTGAGCTGTGTTCACCTCCTCCTCTCCCTTTGTGAAAATAACTGTCACTCAAATCACAGACCATGGTGCTTGAGAGCAGGAGAGAATGCTGCCCTTTTATCAGAAGGCCATAGAGGCCTAAAGAGGCAGGGGAGGAGGCTAACACCATCACCCGGGGATGTGGTGGGTTTGGTTTCAGAATTTTAACCTTCAGATGGCTGCGCTGGCCTTCACTCATTGTAGCCTGCCCAGCGCAGAGGTCCAGCCAAGTGGCCAGAGACAGCAAGGAATAAGAGCCAGCCATGCTGCCCATCAGGAACAGGACGCCCTTGTCCCCTGCATCGTCTGGCTGCTCTGTGCTTGCTGCCAGGGGTCCAGTCTGTGTGTGGTGTTTTTGCTTTGCCTCTTGATATCAATAACCTTAGTGGACTTGGGGAGAAAGAGCTGCACTTGAACTATGGACAGAGAATGAAAAACAAGAGAGCCACAGCACACAGCCTTAGAAATCCTTAGAAAGAGGGTCATGAATGGATACTTTCTAATACCTAAGGTTTTTGTAAGTGACCTAAGCAGGCGCCCTGCCTGGCTGTAGTACAGAGATGTCAGCCTGAGGGGATGAAAAGAACCCTGAGGAGGGGTAGGAAGCAGTGGCTCAGCCACGCCTGTCTTGTGACCTGAGTGTCACGCCTCTGGGATCTGGGATCAGCTCAGATCCGAAACTGGTTGTGTTGGAAAATATTTCAGGTCTCTTTCAGCTTTAAGATTCAATCATGTTGTCTCCCGATAGCCAAATGACATTATCTGACTGTATGGGGGAAAGAAAGCTAGCTTTGTGCTTTTTGTAAGATCTTACCTAACATAAATTGACAGCGGAAAGTTCTTCCTCCTAAGAACAAATGTCCACTGTATTTCACGCCTTCATCTTCTTCAAATGAAAGGCAGTTGTGTATAAAGAATACAGAAGCCAAGTGCTAATGGGATTTGAGAGTGGAGGAAATTAAGCCATTATTTCCATAGTCTCGGGCTCTGCCACTTACAACTTCTCTGAGGTGCTGCTTCTATATTGTTGAAATGAAGGCGTATGGACTAGATCATTGTAAGCATCTTCATGACTCTGAGGTTTGTGATTCTAAGATGCTGGGAGGTTTCTCCGTAAAAAAGCAATAACCCTAATGATTGTAACACAATGAAGAATACTGAAATTCAGAGAAGGGCAAAAAAATGCATTAGGGATATAGGGAATCCTTGGTACATTCCAAACTGATTACCAGTGCCAGTGGTGTCACTCCCTCCTATCTGCATCAGTGGTTTAATTTTTAAATTATTTTTCTGAAATAAAAGAAGAGCAACAATGTAGTTATTAGCTATGTATCCAATTGTGATGGCTTTGGATTATTGGATTTTTGTAGCGGAAATGCTGGCTAGATCGGGTCTCTGGAGAGTTCACCCTTGTTTGATGCATCCTGCCTGAGACTCCTGCTTTGTGTAGATGTTAGCATCATATGAAGCCCTTTCTTTCTTTTATGTGGCTCATTGCAAGTATCTTTCTTTTTTTTTAATTTTTTTTTCTTTTCAAAGTTTTATTGATAAACATATAGCAATGAGTCAGTTTCAAATCAAATCGAAAGTATATCTTTCTTTTTTATTGGAGGGGAAAGAAGACTCAGGTTTGGAAAACCCAACTCCTGAGAAAAAAAGGACTAGGCATTGTTTCGGTACAGATGATTAGTTTTGTATGAGACCTTTGTACTTCCAGGGACTGTCCCAGGTGTAATTATTTTCCTTGTATTGTGAAGAAGCCATAAAGGTAATAAACAGAGACCTTTTCATTCACTTAGCGACTGTGTAGTGCGGCAGATTCTGTGGCGCACGGTTGGGATAGACTGCGAGCTGTAGCAGTCGGCGGTTTGGGTTAGCAGCTGCCTTCAGAGGCTGTGGGCTGAGCCCCGCTGCTGCTGCTGCTGCAGCCCCTATTTGGGGGAGGTGTCATACATAAATGACCCAAGAGGCTCGTTCTGTGTCCTCTTTTTGGCTAAGATAAGGACATATTTTTTTTTTTAATGTCAGTGAGA